AATTGAATTTGAAAACTACACTAGGGAGCACAGCATTGGATTTGTTTCATAAATCATCTAACAGACTTTTGCATACAGAACACTCATCAATAACATCAAAGAGTGCAAGGGACAGCTACAGTGTATACAGCAGGGGCAGGCAATTATTTCGGGCAGAGGACCACTTGATGAGTTTTGGCGAACTGTTGAGGGTTGCATGGGTAGCCCTGCCCCTTCAGCTGCCCCACCTCCTGGTCGCCATCTTGGGACCAGAAGTCCCGCCCCCAGACCCTTGCCACCAGAAGCCCTGCCCGTGACCCCTGCCACTGGAAATCCCTCCCCTTGCACAACTTACCAGGTAGCAAGGGGTTGTGATCCTTCTAACATCCTACCCCAGCAGCGGGGTTTCAGGAGCATCAGACCTCCCCCAGAACTTTCTCTCTACCTGTGCCAACTGGTCCCAAAAGGAGGAAGTTCCACCACCGCTTCTGTTGGCCAGTGCCGACCAGTCAGACTTGCCCCATTTCCAGCAGCACCTGGTAGGCTGGCTTCAGTCGTATGCTGCTCCAGATGGGATGGACCCAGCCGGGTCTGCACTGGCCAGGAAAAGCAGCATACAGCTGAAGTCGGCTTCCCACGTGCTGCTGGGGACAGGAGGAGCCTGACCAGGTCTGCACCAGCCAGGAAAGGTGGCATGCAGTTGAAGTCGGTTCCTCATATGCTACTGGGGATGGGGGGAGCCTGGCAGGGCCTGCACCTGCCAGCAGACGCAGCTGCGAAGCCGTGTGCCACTCAGGATGGGACAGGACAAGCCTGGCTGGAACGGCAGAGGCTCAGCTGCACTTTCCCCCTGCCTGTGCCGGTCAGTCCAGAGCAACACATGGCTCCGCTGCTTCTGCAGGCTGGTGCTGACCCAGCTGGGCTCCTCCCATCCCCAGCAGCACGTGGGAAACCGGCTTCAGCTACACGTTGCTCTGGATGGGATGGGATGGGATGGGCCCAGCTTGGTCTGCACCAGCCAGCAGAAGCAGCAGTGGAGCCGTGTGCCACTCGGGACTGACTAGCACAGGTAGGGGAAAGTGCAGCTGAGCCCCTGCTGGGCTCATCCTGTCCCAAGTGGCACATGGCTCCACTGCCACCTCTCCTCCCTGATGCTGACTGGGCCGGAGCTGAGACCCAGCTGCTGCTTCCCCTCTCCAGTGCCGGCCCAGCCCAACCTTGCATAGCCCGAGCGGCACTGCATGGGGAAGGCCTACACAGCAGCCGCTTTCCTGGGCTTACCTGCAGGGCAGGGCCCCTTCCAGTCCCATGCAGCAAAGCAGAAGGTGGCCCAGAAACTGTTTCCCCTCACCGGCGCCACGGGTTCTGGCCCAGTGCCCCTGCCCCCCTCAAACTGCAAATGTGGCCTGAGCCAGGGGTGGGGCGAGGCCAGCTGGGTCAGGCTGAGGTCAGGGTTGTTTGTCTCACAACCAGAACCCAAGGAAACAGCCTGAGATGCTACAGCCAGTGGCTAGTGCCACTGGAGGCTTTTAGAGAGACAGCCACCATTACATGGGTTTTGAAGGGGCTCTGCGGGCTGGAGGGAAGTGCTTGGTGGGCCGCATCTAGCCCACGGGCCATATTTTGCCCACCCCTGATATACAGGATACATAGTATGTAATGTTAAAAGCCAGCTTAACCAGTCTGCAATATAACCTGGTGTATATCTAGGCACATCATCACTTTATTCTCAAATGCTGCAGGTGATGTAATTTTTCAAATGCTGAGCAGACTGAAAATCCAACATATGTTTATGTTGCCCCCTGACCAATCACTGAAGATGGGATCAGAAAGTTTCCATGGACTCCTGACCAACCACCAGGGCTTGCCACGACACCATTACATATGCTGAATTTCAGAAAGTACTCTGGGCTTCAGAGTTTGAAAAAACACTAGAATAAAAAAAATGGAGGTGGGAGCAATGAGAGAAAAATAATATGGGTAAAAATAAGAGGAAGAGGGCAAGTTAGAGAGGGAGAGGGAAAAAAGGCAGAAAGGGTTTTATATTCTGCTTCAGCAAACCATGCCTAGTCATCATACCACTTAAGCACATTAAGCATTAACTTCAGTTCCATTACATTTTATTGTAAAATATATATCACATCATAGACAGGAAGAGGAAATTTGATGCAGAGAAGAAAGAAAGTACAGAAGAAGCTATTGGATTTGATAAGATGAACTTAAAAAGATCAGTGTAAGGTGAGGGACGGCTGCAGAGAGAAACCAGAAAGCCAGATATCCAAGCGAGAAGGGAAAAAGAAATTAAGGAAGGAATGCATACAAGGAACCCAGACAAAGATGAAGTGGGATTTGGACTCTTAGTTGATGAACAGGTGGAGCTGAGGGAATAATTTCTGAAAAGAGGAGAAACTATACTACGTCTGAAGAATGTTGGGAAGGAGCTAGTCAGAGGGAAAAAAACAGAACAAAGATGAGAGAGAGGGAGTAGGCTAGGATGAAGGAGGACACTCCAGAGGAGACTTTCCACAGGCTGGATAGAGCAGAAGAGATAGGAGAAGGTGAAAGGTACACCAGATGCCATCACTTATTTTCTGTAGAACTTGCAAAATTCTGGGTGCACTGGGAGAAGGGGAAGTTTGGGAAGGTAGAGGTCTCTTGGTTTCTGGATGTAAAGTCAATGAGGAAAGAGACGTGAAATAGGCTTGCAAAGACAGCTGGCTGAGATTTTGGTTTATTTAATGATATTTAACATACAAGAAAAAACCCATTCAATTGCTTCAAGACACATTGACAGATATTTTAAATATCAAAATAACCTCCCCCCACTCTCCCCAACATCAAGGGGACCTTTAATAACAAAGGAAATAGCCAACAAAAGCAAAATAAGAAAAAAAATTCTACCTCAGACAGGCATAGGGTGCAATTTTTAAAATAATTTCTTTCAGCAAACAATATAGGTTCAGGAACACCAAAATTCATGTTAATAGGTATTAAATTGTTCATTTAAAACAAAAAGGCCCCCAGAAAATGTAAATAATTTAAATAATTTATTTTGATATTTTATATTCTTTTATTTTTCCACACACAAAATTTCTTTCATTTTACTTTTTAAATGAATAAATATTAATTCTTCCAATTTGTCAAGATTGAAAGAAAATGTCTTTGAAATGAGTGAAACATCTTATGATGACAAAATCAAAGATAAACATTTCATTTTATGTTAAAACATATTTTTTACATAAAACAGCTATTTTAAAATTTTCAGTTTTCCAAAATCCTCCAAAAACAACAGAAAAAACAAACAAAAGCCAAACATCAGGATCCACACAGTCAACACAACTCATCCCTCTCTACGCGTCTCTTCAAATAGATAGGCATTAAGTATGCCTACTGGGAAATTCAAACTATTTTAAAGCAAAGCGGTAAAAGAAAACCCATGCTGAAGCATGGATATAGAAGGTGCCAAGACAAACCTCCATTACCTCCATATCCTCAAGGGATTTCAGCTTGAGGACTTCTGTATGCTACTGAGATAGCTGTGAATAGCACAGGGGACAAATGATCTCCTAGGCAGAGAGAAACTAAGCAGCGACCCACATATTCTGTCCCCTCTCACTACCCACTAACAATACTTCCACCTTTCTATGCTACTGGCTAGATACTGATTTTATGTACAACAAATAATCACATTGTTTGGAATAGTTTGTGTGTGCTACTTTTAGTACATTATAATAACCTGTTAAGATCCACAAAAGGTAATTAAACATTGCTATATGTTATAAAATTGTTCTGGAACCTTTGGGCATAGAGATCAAGTAGTGAGAATTATAACAAATTTAAACACAAAATTATCTTGCTTCTGTTATCTCTCTCCCTTGAACACCTTAACATTTTTCCTTAATCAATTATTTTTATAGAAAACTTATTATTGGGCTTCCAGATTCAAATACATATTTACTAGTATTAGCCTGCCAAAATCAGGATGAAGACTTGCTTGTAAATATTTGTTTAAGCTAGAAAGCCCTGATATTTTTCTTATTGCTTCTCAGTCTCCAGACTTCGTTATACTGCTTTTAACCAATTTCACACTGGGAAATGCTGAAGCTCAAAGCTAAGATAGGAAAACATAGGACAATATAAATAAAAGGGCAAAAAACAATGCTTTAAAATGCATGCTTTGCATAGAAGTTTTTTTTATTTTTCTTTAAAGGGGGGTCACTCTCCTCTCCAACGTTTAGATAATCCAGTACCAGAAAAAAAAAAAATCCATATTCGTTTTAAATCTAAGCACTAGCCCTGTAGAAAAAGACACCATAGGTTTTGGGGGGATTTTTGTTTGTTTTTGGGGGAGGTTTGTTTGTTTTTTGGGAGGGTGCTTTGTTTTTTTGTCTGGATGCAGTGTACACTTTCCAATTTCCACTTTAATTCTCTTAAAGAACATATACAAAACATGTAAATCACCACTTGCTTGCCCAGTGGAACAGCATTTCAGTAATCCATGCCAACAGTTGCCTACAGAATGCACCTACATCTGGTCTGCCACATCCAAACAGCAACCACAGGCACACGCTTTGCTTTGTTTGGAATTCATCGCTACAATGCAGCTGAGCCTCAGATAGAAAAACTATCAGCCTCCAGGGTTAAACAGACACATGTTTTAGTCACAACAACTTTCTGTGGGAAGGCAAAGCCATAACAATGAATATAGGAGTTTTTATGCAAATCACTAAAGGCCTAGTGACTTAAATTGAAATAACATCCCTAATTGCTTTAATGAACATTTTCCTGAGCTTAAGGATGTAAAAACAGAATGGATGTGTTGTGATGTGAATTTTACTTCATCTGCTGGAATAAAAAAAAACTTTTAAGAAAAATCAGATTTCTAAATGTTTCCATTTAAATCTGAAGGTAAATTAATATTCACCATTCCTGAGTGCAGGATGTTTTACTGGGAAGCAGAGAAGTTGATATATTCATTAAATCAAATATACTTCTGAAATTGCATGTAATTTAATACTTACCTAACCACTCATTGAATTTTTTAACTTCACTAGGAAGTCCCAGCTCAGTAAAATCACCAGCATGTATTAAAACATCTCCATATGGCATTTGTATTGGATCAGTTCTTGAGTGAGTATCAGAAATACAGACAAACCGGGTATATCCTGGAGGCTTGGGAGCATCATGGGGTACAGGATCCACCCTGCAAGAAATGCATCACAACAAGGTTATAAAACAGGATTATGTACATGCCTTTCATTATTTATCTTGAAATTCCCAATACTTTTTTTCTTCTCATAAAAGATGAAATAATCTTCAAAATGGTTGTGACAGGAGTCACTTATTAGAACAAAGCAACCCTAGTAGGAAGTGTAAAAAATTTGAAGTTTACACCACAATTTTTCAATATTTTGGGGTACAGGCATTTAAAGAGACAATGAGAAAAGAAATGGAAAATACTAGTAATAACTGAAACAAATACTAATGAATAAATTAAATGCATACCAGTATCAAAGTTAGAGACCATCCTGTATTCATTGTTTAAGTATGATTATAAAGTATGCAGAGAGAAGCTTTATTTAATGTTATATATGGAATATATAGATATATAGATGTAGATATATATGTATATGCATGCATTTTCTATTTATAACATGAGCCTGCAAGTTATACAATTCGAGCAAGTTATACAATTCGAACAAGCTTAATTAGCATGTTTTTGATATACATTTCAGTGTGTTAATGTACCAGAAGATAAGAACTCTACTGACAGCAGCTGTAAATGCACATTCAGACCTAACTATTGTCAGGACAAATGTAGCAACTTTCTGGGCTTAATTATGCTAAGTAGAATCAGGTGCAGTGAGGACTAGTGCTACCTTGTATTTTGTCCAATATTAAGACTCAAAACTGTGAAAAAGAAACCACTGTTATGAAATTTGCTCGTGATTTAGGAAAGAGAGACTGAGAGATAAATCTTCTGCATTAAATATTCTTATTTCCAGCCCACTAAATCCATTCATACTCACCACATATTTCTTTAAAATATAAACCTATAGAAGCATATATAACTAACTGTACCATAGCTCTAATTCCAGTGGGAGAATTCAAGAGGAGCAAAATAGAAATACGTGAAATTAAAAACTTTATTTTTAGCAGTTTTAGATCAGACAAAATTAAAATTCTATATCAACAATTTAGTTTGTTTGTTTTTTTACCTTAAATAACAAACATCATACGTTTAGGTCTTGTTGTAATGTATAATTTTTTCCCTTCCATTTTTCCCACTTGATCTGTTTCCTTCCTTGCTCTAGTTTTTAAATGTTGTTTAGGAGAAAAAAAAATAAAGACCGTTATTATTAATGAGAATACTCATGAGGCCATTCATTAGGATGGTTTTCAGAATACTCTATGAATTGGATTAGAATTCTAGTGAATTTAAGTTTGACGTGTGGATAAGACATTTAACAATTTCACCTACTAGTGAGAAAGTCAGGAACAGAATTTTGTTCAAATTATTAAACAAAGCTTAAAAAATTTCTTAGCAATTTTTAAAATCAATTAAAAAGTGAACATATGTATCAATTCTCTTTGAATTAATTTTTAAAATTTCATTTTAAAGCCATTACATCAACAGGAAGGCACTAACAACTTGTCACGTCATTTGAACAGTAGGGGTTG